GTAGTAGTAGTAGTAGTAGTAGTAGTAGTAGTAGTAGTAGTAGTGGTAGTAGTAGTAGTAGTAGTAGTAGTAGTAGTAGTAGTAGTAGTAGTAGTAGTAGTAGTAGTAGTAGTAGTAGTAGTAGTAGTAGTAGTAGTAGTAGTAGTAGTAGTAGTAGTAGTAGTAGTAGTAGCAGTAGTAGTAGTAGTAGTAGTAGTAGCAGTAGTAGTAGTAGTAGTAGTAGTAGTAGTAGTAGTAGTAGTAGTAGTAGTAGAGCAGCACCAAGCGGGCACGGGCGGGCACGGGGCGAACCCCTGAGAACCCAATCGGCGCACGAAGCGGGCGCGAGGCGGGCCCCTGCGCACCCCGAAACGCCGGGAGGAACCCCTTGGTGCAAGCACTGCTGCCTGGGGAAGAGCAGCAAACTGCGGGAGCTCCGCGCTGGCTTCTTGGAGTCGGCGCTCTGGGCCCTCCTCCCCACACCGCTGGACCGCCAGCAGGCGCCCGAGAGACTGCCAGGAGGCCCGAAGAGGCCCCCAGGAGGCCCAGGAGAGGCCCCCAGGAGGATCCCGAGAGGCTCCGCGAGGCTACACCCGTTGACGCCATCCATCCATCGGAGGGGCGCCGGACTGGCGCAAGCCCCTTGAAGAAGATCAGACTTTCGGGTCTCCGCGCTGGGCCTTCCTCCCCAAACCGCTCCCCCAAGGCGCCGGGAGGCGGGGCCTGGAGAGGGGGGCGCACGGCGCCCGTCCAGGAACTCCGCGCCGACTTTCTCTTTATGTTTACGCCGCGCTGGGAGGGATCCCGGAGGCCAGACGTCCTCCCATATGACTCCCAGCCATCCTGTGTTGAGCCAGACCCTCGTGTTGGAAATCCGCAGCGCCGAGCGCCCCACTCGCTTCTCCTTTCTCCCCCCCCGCCTCCCTCCTCCAATCCCTGCCACCGCCCTCCGCATGTCTCGGCTTTGGCACACCCCTCAGACGTTCTGTGGCCCCTCAGGGAGCTCCACCGAGGGCCTCAGCAACCACGTCCGCATCAGGGGTCCTCGCCCATTTCGGCACGCCCTCGCATGTTTCGTTGCCCCATGAGGGTTTTCTGCCACAGGCTCTAATGGCCACGTCAGCATGGGGGGTCCTCGCCCATGTTGGCATATCCCTCACACGCTTCGTGGCCACATGGGGAGCTCCACCGAAGGCAACAGTGGCACGGTCCGCATATGTGCCCACGCCTGTCTCGGCACACCCCTCACACATTTCGTAGCCCCATACAGAGCTTCACCGAAGGCCCCAGTGGCAGAGTGCGCATGCGTGCCCACGTTCAACTCGGCACGCCCCTCACACGATTCGTGGCCCCACAAGGAGTTCCACCTAAGGCCCCAGTGGTAGGGTCCGCATGCGTGCCCATATTTCGGCTCACCACTCACACGTGGCGTGGCCCCATAGGTAGCTTCACCGAATGCCCCAGATGCAAGGTCCGTATGCGAACCCACGTCCAACTCGGCACACTCCTCGCACGTCCCAGGGCCCCACAGGGACCTCCCCATCCTTCCTCCCACCTGCCTTGCGATACTCAGGCCTGCATCTGGTTGGGTCGCTCGCCAAGACAATCCATGCAATCCGCAACCTCGGAGCTCCCGAACCCTTCCCTGGGAGTAGCTTTGCGCCCCAGACCCAGTTTTTGACAGCCCTGGGGGGCCCCCAAACGGTGTGGTGACCACACCGTGTGGTGAGTCGCTGGGGATTCGGGGTCACCGCACGGTTTTGGGACTCGAGTCCCTCTCCGAGGATGTCTCAGGCCTCCAGGGTCCCAAAACCGTGGGGTGACGGACCGTGCGGTTAGGCCTCGGGGGACTTTGAGGTCACCGCTCGGTCCGTCACCGCACCGCTTCGGGCCTCCAAAGGCCCCCCCTGGCACGAAAGCAACCTCCCAGAGGCCGAAGCGAGGAACCGCTTTCCGCGATTGCTCCGAACATCATCGGGAGCTTGGGCTTCGTGTCTGGTCTTCGATCGTGGTTTCTCCGGCCTCCGGCGGCCGTTCGGGGCGACCTTGGGCAACCCGGGAAGAGAACGCGCTCGGCGAAGCGCAGCCGCTGGCTCACATACCCGGGGCGGGAATGATGGGCTTATTTTCCACCACCGCCACCATAAGTTGGAGGGGGAGAGGGTCCTCCTCCTCCTCTTCCTCCTCCTCCTCCTCCTCCTCCTCCTCCTGTCCTCCTCCTCTTCCTCCTCCTCCTCCTCCTCCTCCTCCTCCTCCTCCTCCTCAACCTCATTCCCCCCTCCAACTTATGGTGGTGGTGGTGGTGGTGGTGGAAAACAAGCCCATCAGGGAATACCGCCGAGGTGCGACGAGCACACGCCCGAGAGCCTAGAGCCTCGAACCTCGGGACTGGCCGTCCCTCTGGGCCCACAGGTCGGGGTTGCTTGGCGAGGACGCGCGAGAGGGCACGAGAGCCTCCCGAGGGCCGCACTGCCACAGGAATGCAAGAAGGCATGGGTTGCGAAGCTCGGGGCACAAGGGCACCTTTGATTTGGCAGGGTCGACCTACTAATCAGTCTCGACTGTATCCCCGTCAGCGCGAGCGAGGAGGGAGGGGGAGGTATGAGGAGGAGGAGGAGGAGGGAGGAGGAGGAGGAGGAGGCGGAGGAGGAGGAGGAGGAGGAGGAGGAGGAGGAGGAGGAGGAGGAAGGAGGAGGAGGAGGAGGAGGGAGGAGGGGAGGAGGAGGAGGAGGGGAGGTAGGAGGAGGCGGGGAGGGAGGTAGGAGGAGGAGGAGGAGGGGGGGAGGAGGGAGAGGAGGAGGAGGAGAAGGAGAGGAGGAGGGGAGGAGGAGAAGGAGGAGGAGGAAGGAGGAGGAGGAGGAGGAGGAGGAGGAGGAGGAGGAGGAGGGGGAGGAGGAAGTGAAGGAAGGGGAGGAGGAGGGCTCGCTTGCCCCCGCGGCGGATCCTCGGTCAGCGCCAGCTCCCCCCGCCGGCAGCGCCGCCCCGGGGGCCCGAACGCCTCCTCCGCAAGGGGCGTCGGGCGCCGCCCCGCCGCCGCGCCCACGAGGCAGCGGAGCCGCTGCGGCGGCGACCTCGGCCGCAGACGGCGGTGGCGGCGAAGGACGGCTTCTCGTTTTAGTTTGCCCAACCGGCCCTGAGGAGGAGGAGGAGGAGGAGGCGGAGGAGGAGGAGGAGGAGGAGGAGGAGGAAGAGGAGGTGGAACCGCCTCTCGAGGCCCCCCCGAGGAGTCGGTCCGGCTCCGTGCTCGCCGCCGCAGCTCTGTCGCCGCCGGTCGTCTGGGCCTGGCCGGCGATGCGGCGGCTCCGTGCTCGCCGTCGCCGCCCCGTCGCCGCCCCGTCGCCGCCCGTCGAGATTGAGGGTGCCGTCAAGACGTGTACGGTGAGGACGGGTGGCAAGGACGCAAGACCCTTGGAGGCCGAGGCTGGGATTCTCTGGGCGGCGGGCGACCAGCGAAGACGGCAAAGAGCGGGCCGCAAAGGCAAGGGCACAAGGGCACCCTAGATGAAGGCGCGCGTCCTTGCTGGGCGCGTTGGCTGTACAGCCGAACGTACGATCAAGAAACATAGAACTCAAGAAATCTGGGCCAGCTTCCCGACAGTGCCTTGAGCAAAACCTGGGCTCATGTCCGCTGCTGACGCTGAAAAGGCGAAGGAGCTCAAGACACTGGGCCAACTTTCTCGCATGTTCGACGAGAAACGCTGGCCAAACTCGGCGTTGGACAAACCTGCCTTTAGTAAACCTCCCCTTAATGAAATCGGCCTGGGACCGAAACCGACGGACCTGGATCCGCAAAGATGACGGCCGCGAAGCCCTCTCGCGAACCGAAAACGGCCAATTCACTAATCGATGTGTCAGGGTAGGAGGTCGATCAATCTCCGACAAACTTTTTGGGAGGAGATTTCTTAACCGGATGTTCGACCGTAGCAAGGACACGCGGCAAGGATGCAAGACCCTTGGACGGCACTGGTAACATGAGAGATAACAGAGCGATTGTCCTTTTCCCTCTCACTACCTGTATTGGTCCGATTGCACGCTGTGGGCCAGAATAGCGGCGGGCGCGCACGCGTGCTACTACTCGAGTGAAGAGGAGGAGGAGGAGGAGGAGGAGGAGGAGGAGGAGGAGGAGGAGGAAGGAGGAGACGGAGGAGGAGGAGGAGGAGGAGGAGGAGGAAGGAGGGAAGGAGAGGAGGAGGAGGGAGGAGGAGGGAGAAGGAGGAACGAGGAGGGCCGTCTGGGCTTCGCCGCGCTCTCAGAGGCGGCGGCGACCTCGACCGCGGGCGCTGCACCGCGCGCTGGCCCTCCAGCGGGCCAGGGCCGCTGGGGACTTCGGCGCCCTCCTGCGGGGGAGCGTCGGGAGGGGGCAAGTTGGAGGAGTCGAAAGAGCCGGAGGGACCAGAGGAGCCGGAGGAGTCGGAGGAGGAAGAACAGGAGGAGGAGCAGGAGGAGGAGGGAGGAGGAGGAGCAGAAAGGAGGAGGAGAGACTGAGCAGCAGAAGGAGGAAAAGGGGGAGGAGGTGGAGGAAGAGGAGGCGGAGGAGGAGGGAGGAAAGAGGAGCATCGACGAAACCGTCTGCTCCTCCTCCTCCGCCTCTCCTTCCTCCAGTCCCCCACCCTCCCCTCTCCCTTTGCTCCGTCCTCTCCTCCTTCTGCTTCCTCCTCCTCCATCCTTCCCTCTCCTCCTCCTCCTCCTCATCCTCCTCCTCCTCCTCTCCTCTCATCCTCCTCATCCTACTCCCCCTTCACTCCTCCCTCTCCTCCTCATCCCCCCTCCTCCTCCTCCTCCTCCCCCTCCCCCTCCTCCTCCTCCTCCTCCTCATCCTACTCCTCCTCCTCCTCCTCCTCCTCCTCCTCCTCCTCCTCTCCCTACTCCGCTGCCCCATCCCCCTTTCGGAGGCGACCAGGGTGTCTGAACTGGATTGGCCACCAGAAAAATAGAATTTGTCAAGAGGGAGAGGGGGCGGGGGGGACGAAACCAGACCCGATCAAAGTCGGTCCCCGGATCCTTACTGGGATCCACCTGGGGCAATTTTCACCCTGGATCCCTGTTTGACGGTCCCCAGCCCCGAAACTGAAAACGGCCGCTGGGCGCAGAACAATGCGGAACAAAACAGCTATTCGAACCCAGCGCCTCGCACGTCGCCCCGCCCCCCCCCCCCCCCCCACTTGCTGCCCGCCTGAACCAGTCCTGGGCCACCTTCGACCCCCAGCTGGCTCCAATCCTCCTCCACCTCCTCCACGTGAAGAGGCGGAGCGGCGAGGCCGAGCGGGGGGGAGGCGGAGAGGGGATGAGAACGCCTTTTCCCGACCATCCTGTGTGTTGGGTCCTCGTTTCGAAAAGACAGCACCCCGCGTCGCACTCCTCCCTCCTCCGCCTCCTCCCTCATGCCTGCCTCTGCCCTCCGCATGTCCATTCCGACACACCCCTCACACGCTTCGAGGCCCCATAGGGGACGGCCCCAGTGGCAGGACTCGCATGCGGTACCCGCCCCAATTTTAACACACCCGTCACACTTTTCGTGGCCCCATAGGGAGCTCCACCGACGGCCCGACTAGCAGGGTTCGCATGCGGTACACGCCTCCATTTCGACATACCCTCACAAGCTTCGTGGCCTGGAGCCCCACCGAAAGCTCCAGCGGCAGGGCTCGCATGCGGCACCCGCTTCAAATTCGGCACACCCCTCACACGTGTCGTGGCCCCATGGAGAGCGTCACCGAAGACCTCAATGGCAGGGCTCGCATGCAGCACTGCAGTGCCCGCCCATTCCGGCAGGCACACCCCTCACACGTTTCGTGGCCCTACCGGGAGCTCCACTGGAGGACGCAGTGGCAGGACTCACGTGCAGTACCCGCCACAACTTCGGCACACCCCTCACACGTCTCGTGGCCCCATAGGGCGCTCCACCGAAGGCCCCAATGGCAGGGCTCACACGCGGTACCCGCCTCCATATCGGCACACGCCCCACACGCTTCGAGGCCCCACAGGGAGCTCCACCGAGGGCTCCAGTGGAAAGGCTCGCGTGCGGCACCCGCCCCTATTTCGGCGCACCCCTCACACGTTTCATGACCCAATGGGGAACTTCACGGAAGGCCCCAGAGGCAGGGCTCGCATGCGGTACCCGCCTCCATGTCGCCACACCCCTCACACGTTCCGTGGCCCCACAGGAAGCTCCACCCACACCCCTCACACGCTTCGTGGCCCCATTGGGAGCTCCACCGCAGGGCCCAGCGACAGGGCTCGCATGCGGTACCCGTCTCCGTTTCGGCACACCCCTCACACGCTTCGTGGCCACATATGGAGCTCCACCGAAGGCCCGAGCGGCAGGTATCACATGCGCCCCTCCGCCCATGTCGCCCTCCCGACTCCCCATCCTTCTTCTCACCTGCCTCGCGATGCTCGCAGCTGCATATGATTGGGCCCTTCGCCAGGCTGTTGCTTTACGTCAGCGCTCAGGGACAACCGTCAGAAAGGATCGACATGAGGACTCAATAGAACAAGCCGACGAAGAGGACGAAGCCCACAAGGTTCACTAGGATCGTGAGGAGCAGGATGGCACCAGCACGAAAAAAGAAAGACAAACACACCTTCTCACAGAAATAATCACACCGTCCGCGAAAACACATCCGTCACACCGTGCGCTGGTGTGCTAGATCCATCAAAACACTGGACACCACGAACAATGAATCGCACACAACAAAGCCAAAAGCCACCATGGTTACGACATGCTGAAGCCCATCACCATGAACAGGAGCACAATTTGAGTGAAAGTCTGTGGCGCTCCGAGGTCAAGCGAAACGAAAACCTTCGCTAGTGTCGGGCGGCAGCCCGGCGGCTCCAGGCGGGGGGATGAGAAGGCAGGAGGCGGGAGGCGGGAGGAGTTAGCAGAAGGAGGAGGCGGAGGAGGAGGAGGAGGAGAAAGGAGGAGAAAGGAGGATCGATCGATCGAGCTCTCGGGCCAGTTCGGTGCTGCACTATCGCTGCGCGCTGTGCTGCTTAATAAATTTGTGTGGCCTAACTGAGGTCGCTTTTCTGAAAGGGGGTCGCGGGCGTCACTGAGACGCTCGGGCCCTGCCTGCACCGTCCTCCCCCGCGCAGGGGTCTGCGGGCAGGGTAGCACCCGCTATCGGGTGCCCTCTCGCTGGTTCCTCTACTGCCCCGTCTTCTCAGCCCTTCGGGTGGGGGCGGGGGAGGTCGGTGCACGACAAATTAGTCAGGGAAGCTCGGGCCTCGGAGTGGGAGGAGGTCTCGGTCGGAGGCGGAGGAGGAGGGCTTCCTTCCCTGACCAGCTCGTGGAATCGTGCGCTGGTGCGTAAAAACGGGGTGGCCTGAGGGGCCACGCTCGCTGGGGCAGGACAGTGCCGCGCCGTCCGCTCACGCACATCATATTGTGCTGCTCCTCTCTCCGTGTCGTTCTGGCGAGACGTCCCAGTTCTCGTTCTCCGTGCGGCACCGCCCCGATCTTGCTGCTCGTCTCCAGCTGCGTGTCCGTTGACTTCGCCTGGAACTGAAGCCTGCACTTCTCCGTGATGCCCCCTCCTTTGCCCTTGTTCTTGCGTGCGAGGAAGATTGGGATGCTGTCTGCTATCTTCTCGGCCCTGCCACTCAATGACGTCCGTGTAGTATTTCTCGAGGTAGTCGCGCTCCGCTCCTGCGTCGAACACGCGCCCCGTGTAGTTCGCCATTTCGGTCCACACGCGGGTGCGGGGGCTGTCGAGCGAGGCCGCGTCCACTTGTTCTCCCAGCTCCTGGCCAGGTGTTTCCCTGTACTCGATGTTGAACGTCGCCCTGTGGTATCGTTGTTCTCCGTGGTCCCAGTGATCCTGCGTGATGTTGCCGTTGGTCGTGTCCGTGTAAGTCACCTGCAGCTGGCGAACGCGTTGTACATGTCCTTCATGGTGGACGCGTAGTTGTAGCTTGCGTTGTTCTTCGGCTCGTGAAGCACTGGTAGTAATTGATGCACTCGTTGATCGCAAGGCGGCCTTCGGTAACTTTCTTAAGTGTTCTCCGTCTTCTGCTTGAAGTCCCAGGCCGTGTCGTTGGCGTGGTTGGTGTTCCGCCTTCGGTGGGCGTAGTAGTAGTCGCCATATCTCCGTTGGTGCCGCCGTTGGTGGTGCTGCTCGTCGTAGGCGTGCTCGTTTGTGGCGTTTGGCGATCTCCTTGTAGTCTTCCTTTATCTTTTTCTCCAAGTCGTTCTCGTAATATTCCTTCTCCTCGGCGTTGTGTGGGATGGCCTCCAGGTGCTGGGCATTATTCTCGGTGCCTTCCATGCCGTCTGGTCCTCCTGGAAGTCGCCAAAAATCAAGCCATGCCTGCTTCGTGAGGTTTGCCGTAGTAACCGTCCAGATGTCCCTCTTGCGTGGTTCGTGTCTTCCTCCTGCTCGTGATAGTTCTTCGACTCGTTGCTCTGTGCGTTGTCGTTGTGCTCGTCGTCGCTGCCGTTGGCGTGTCTTCGTGGTGTCGTGCAGCTTTTTCTCGTTCTCGCACATCTCCGTGATCGGCTGTTTGTCTGTGGCGTGTGGATTGCCCTCCGGCTCTGTCTCTTCCTGGGGCCTGGGTGGGTCAACGACCGTCCCTGGGAGGTCCCTGGATTCGAGCTCGTCCGTGCAAAACGGGGGAGGCGACGATTCGGCCGCAGGCGTGCGATTAGCCTCTCGGTGTAATTCGTGAGCCTCTCGCGGTAGTCCGTCAGTTTCGGCGCCTGGCAGTAGTACTTCTGCGCTGTCCCTACGAGGGTGGTGTTGTTGTCCGTGAAGAGCTGATCGACTCCCTTTCCTGCTGGGTCCGCTGTCCTCTGCTCTACCTTCTCGATGACTTCTCCTCTGTGTCGTCCATGTCGAGCTGCGAGCGCGAGGCTGTCCTTTCCCCGTCTCGTTGGCTGAGGTCGCTGTCGTACTTGTTGTCGTAGCAAGGTCACTTGCACTGGTACGTCTCGTCTGGATCGGCAGCGTATTAACGGGGGTCCTTGAGATATCATCGTCTCGGTCATGCTCCTCAGTATCATGATGTACCTCGCGTTCTTCTCTCCGAAATGGCGGTCGGCGTAGGTGCGAGCCTTCTGCCCCGCACCGCCTGGTAGTCGTTCTGGCGATCCGCCTTCTTCGAGCGCTGGTGTATCTGGTCGTCCTCCTTTCTGTGTGATGCCGTTGCCATCGTTGAGGTCGCCCGCGACAATTACGCTTCTGTCTTTTGGTTTCTTCTATCCAGTTGAACCCTCTGCTCGTCTTAGCGTAGTACTGTGGCGGTCTGTAGTATCCTATGATCAGCAGCGTCTGGTCGTGATGCAGGGTGATCACGAGACCTCTTCCACTGAGCTGCGGCTCCTGGATGTCGATGATGGTGCCCGTGCTGCGGTTGATCTCTTCCCTTGGTTGCCAGCCCGCGTCGTAGTATCTCGTGTTGCCTCGGCGGTGCTGCGTAATGACGTGTCGTCTGCGTGATGTCCCCACGATGATGTCGACTTTGTTGTTCTCCTCGTATCTCACCGCGAGCCTGTCGGGCTTGGCCGAGAGCTGGCAGAAGAGGAGCACAGCGAGAGAGGCTGAGAGTGCTGCCATCATGCGGGCCGCCGCCCCTTCTGTCTGCTCGGTCCGAGGAATCGCATGGTGGCGGTCTGGGCTGCCCTGACAATATCTTAGGCCCAGATGGCAGCTAGAAAGGAGGAGGAGGAGGAGGAGGAGGAGTCCTCATCCTCTTCCTCTCCCTCCTCCCTCTCCTTCTCACTCCTCCTCCTCCTCCTCCTCCTCCTCCTCCTTCCTCCCTCCCCCCCCCTCCCCTCCCCTCCTCCTCCCCCCTCCCTCCCCCCCCCCTCCTCCCCTCCTCCTCCTCCTCCTCCTCCTCCTTCCTCCTCCTCCTCCTCCTCCTCCTCCCGGCTGAGAAGAGAAGAAAGCGGGCAAGACGCGAGCAAGGGACAAGAGAGGGCGGACAAGAAGCGAAGGGGAGAGAAATGGGAGCGTCCGTCCACACAGCCGGCGCCACTCAGGACACGCTCCGCGTTTCCCTGCGGAGTCTACATCTGTCACCCCAAATTAATTAAGCACGAAGGGCCAACGAAGGCAGGCCGACAAGCAGGACGACGAGGGGAGCCAGCGAGGGCAAGCCAAGGAGCAGGGAGAGGGAGGGAGGGAGAGAGGGAGGGAGGGAGGGAGAACGAGGACGACGACGACCAGGCCGAGGGACGCGAGGAGGGGGAAGCAGGGAGACAAGGGAGCCGAGAGAGACACACACCACCAAGAAAGGGCAAGGCACAGAAGGAGGACGAGGGGGGGAGAGGAGCAAGCCGAGGAAGGCAAGGGAGCCAAGCAAGGAAAGGAAGGAGGCACACGGGCCGGGCCACGGGCCGAGACGACCCCCGGGGGGAGCCGAGGAGACGGCCAAACCCGGGGGGGAGAGGGGGACCCTCGGAGACCGGCTGCGGAGACAGCGGGGGCCGAGGGGGGGAGGCGGGCGGAGGAAAGAGGGGCAGGCGGGGTACGCCACGCACGGTATGAGCTAGTGAGGCCTCTGCCAGGGGCGCGGGAGGCCGGCCGCGCCGGAGAGCAGCTGCGCGGCTACCCCGCGCTGCAGGGCCGCGGCCAAGCTCTGGCGCAGGTCGGCCAGCGCCTCCGCGCGCCGGAGGCCTCCGGGCGCCGCAGCCTTGGCCCAGCGGCGGAACTCCGAGCCCCACCGCCCGCCCGTCTCGAGCGCAGCGGCCAGCAGTCCGCCTCCCGGGTAGCGTTGGTGTTTTGTTCGCTCCCGATCGGCGGCCGCCTGGCCGTCGCGCCGAGACCTGGCCGCTGCCAAGCCCGGGTCTGGTGTGGTGACCTCGACCACGCTCACGTCGATGGCGAGGGGGCCGGAGCTGACGGGGTCGTGCGGCAACACCACGTCGAGGACTGCCCTCTCCATGGTGCCGTCTGCGCGCACGCGGTCCCATCTTGGGCACGCTTGCTCGGTGAGTGCCTCTTCCTCTCCCCACTCTCGCTTGCACCAGGCTGCCAGCGCGTCGCGGCATCTGTTGTGCCTACGACAGAAGCCCGGGCCCTTGTCGCAGCAGCAGGCGTGGCTCCCGTAGCGCTGGCGCGCCACCGATGCGCACGGGTGGTCCGTCCGGCGTGAGCGGTGTTGGCACGGCGCCCCGCCCTGCCCCGCTGGGTCCGCGAAGAGCAAGCGGCGGCGGTAGGCCACGCAGAACTCGTCGTCGGCCAGCGTGTGCTCGTCGCGGCGAGGCACTTGCAGCCACGCGCCCCCTTCCGCCCCCTGGCTGCGCAGAAGGCTCGCTCCCTCCGGGTCAAGCGCCTGCCCCAGCTGCCGGCGCTCTCGGGCCTGTGCCGACCGCGTCAGGTCGCGCTGGGAAGGACCTCCGCCGGCACACCTGCGGGTGCCGGTGCGCTGGCGGGCCTGCGCAAGCACCGCGTGGAAGCCTGGGGCGGCGCGTTCGCTCTCGTCCAGCGTGGACAGGCCCTGCGCGGCGAGCACTGCCCGCCACGTGGTTGACCAAGAACCCAGGGTGGCCGGGTCGGCGCGCTGCTCGGCAGAAGAGAAGCCGCCCCCTCCTTCTCTGGCCGGCAAGAACAGCACAGCCCGCGACACTGCAGACAGCGGCCCGCCGAGCCACTCACCCACGAAGTGGACGACCCAGTCGTCGTAGGGCCTCCACGTCTCGGGGGCTCCTGGGCGTGCTCTCTGGGCGTAGGTGGTGGAGCCGTTCACGAAGTTGCGCAGCAGCACGAAGGCCTCGTGAATGGGGAGCCCAGCCATGGCCAAGGACTGGAGCCTCTCGTTAAAACTCTGCAGGCGCGTTACGGCCCGAGGCACCTCGTCAGCGGCCCCCACCCCAGCGGTGACGTCGCGCCAGTCGTCGCCGTCCTCCTCCGTCACCCTGTGGTTCCTCATGAACGGCAGGGTGCTGCCCAAGCAGGGCAGCGCTGGCACGGCCACGTGGCGGAGCCCGTCTGGCAGCTCGCCCGCGGCCGCCGGCACCCAGACCTTGGTCTTCCCACCGTGGACCTCGAGGCCCGTGTTCGCGAGGAGTTCCGTCGTGAGCCGCAGGGCTGCGGAGGCGCACTCCCGGGGAACCCACAGGTAGACGTCATCCAAGAAGGCGACCGCCTTGGCCTCAGCGTGCAACGTGCGCAACCGGGCGTTCAGCTCGTCGAGGGGGCCCGCCAGGAATATGCCCCACAGCGCTGGGGAAAGTGGGCAACCCTCGTCCAGGCCCAACCACTGGACGACCGTGGAGCTGGCCTCGCCCTCCCCTGCGACCGCGTGCACCCCTCCCCGGTCGTAGATTGACCGGGCGAGCAGCTCCAAGTCAGGGCACCGCGTGCGGAGGGCCCGGAAAAGGCGCCTGCGGCGGAGGCGGCGGAAAGCTGACCGGACGTCCACGCTGATGAAAGCCCAGTCGGGGTGCGACTCTGCGTGGGCGGTGATCGTTTTCTGCAAGGCTTCGGCCCCGCCCGGCTCCAGGACGCCATACTGGTAGGGCCCGACAGCGCTGCGAATCTCCGCCTTCCGCGTGGACACACACGGCCTGGCCGATCAATCGCTGCGAATCTCGGCCTTCCGATCCTCCTCCCCCTCCTCCTCCTCCCCCTCCCCCTCCTCCTCCTCCTCCCCCTCCTCTTCCCCCTGGCCTCCTGGGCCTCGGCGCCCTCGTCGTGGCCCTGCCTGGCCGCCGCCCTGCCCGCGCTGCCCGGCGCGCGGCGCGGCGAGGCCGAGGGGGCGCTGCCGGAGGCCGTGGACAGGTCCTCTGCATGAGTCGGGTTGACCCAAAAGGGGGTCCAGCGACAAGGGGGTGGTGCAATAGATTTGGTGCAATAGATTTATGGGGTTGCAATACATTGAGGCGTGCAATACATTCTGGGGCGCAAATGTATTGCTGGATTTTCGCGTGCAATACATTAGTGGCAATACAATGCAATACAATTCTCCAGCGCAATACGTTTGCAATACAATTGCCCCAAATCTGTTGCACCACCCCCTTGCAGCTGGACCCCCTTTTGGGTCGCCCAGAACGAGAAGCGGGCCCAGACCCGGGCCTGGGCTCGCTATGGGGAACATTCGGGCCGGGCGAGAGGGGGGACAGCAAAGGGGGGGGGGGGGAATGAGAATCAGCGCACGTGGCTGATTTTCCCGGCGCCTCCGGGAACCCTGACCTTCCAGAGAGCCATTTTTTAGCACTGGAGGCCCAAACACCTAGAACAGCTGAGCGAAACAGCCTAAAAAACCAAGACGTATAAAAATAGCTCTAGGATAGGCTTTTAGTTCGGGTGCTATTTTTTAGTCCTCCTGGAAGGTCAGGGAACATTCGGGCCGGGCGAAAGGGGCGGATAGCAAAGGGGGGGGGGAATGAGAATCAGCGCACGTGGCTGATTTTCCCGGCGCCTCCGGGCGCCAGAGCTGGCCAGGTATCGAGGAACGGGCCCCTCGGTAGGGCCGAAACCAGCCGAATGCAGCAGATTTCGCACCCCCCCCCTTTCCCTATCCCCCCCTTTCGTCTGGCTTCGCTCTCTTGGCCCCGCCACTGGTCCACGAATGTGCGTGCCAGGTGGGAGCATGCATCGTGCACGCCCGAGCGTTCGAGGATTCCTCGATAGCACATCGAAGATCCCATGATCCTCGACGATGACCGAAGGCCTCCTCGATCCTCACAAACCCGGGCATGGACGATCGAGGATCCTCAATCGGTGCCTGGATCGGCAGACCAGGGCCCCCTGGCGCCATGAGAAACCACGACGGGCGGTGTGTTGCTATCGTTGGCCTCTGGGGGCCCTCGCCGGGCCCCAGGACTGCGCACAACACGACTCGGGACGAAAAGCCGGTCCCATGGGGAATGTGCCGACGCCTTTTTGGGCGCCGACGTCAGGACTGCCGAGGGTCCTCTGACTCCCCGTGGCGCAGAGGCAGCCCCCGCAGGCAGTCCCGGCTGGCCCCAAGAGTCGGCTACACGCAAGAGTGACCCTGGGTCAGAGTGACCTTTGGTGCGCGGCTTTTTGGGACCGCGGGGGGGTCAAAAACAAGCGCGCCAGCCGCTGCTCCTGCTCCGTTCTCGGCCATCTGGGGGCCCATCTGCACCCGCACCAAAGGTCACTCCGGCGAAAGGTCACTCTTACGCCTAGTCGAAAGAGGCCCCCCCCAGGCACTTCCAGCCGGGCTCAGCAGGCCTCTCGAGTAGCCCCGGGGCGGTCTCCGCACCCGGGCGCCGCCTCCGGCGGCGCCCCTATGGGGCGCTCCGCGCTCCGGAGTGGGAGCCTTGAGACCGCCCCGGGCCACTCGGGAGGCCTATCTTGAGGCCGTGTGGGGCTGCTCGGGGTGCCCGTTGAGGCCAGCCAGGACTGCCTGGGGGCGCCGCCTGTGCGCAGTGCGAAGCCTTGCCAGTCGGGGGGGGGGGGGAAGCAAAACTGGGGTTCTCGGGAACTGGGGTCAGCCCGACAGGGCCGTCAGGGGAATGACGGGGCCCAGCCTGAGATGTGACGCGAGCTCCCGCTGCAAACGCTAGGAAAACTGGACCGTCAAAATCCAGGACGGGCCCGTGAAAAAGCGATCGGCACACCAGACCTGTCTTACTTGTCCCCGACCTTCGGAGGCAACTCCTCTGCAAGAGAAGGCCCAGAGGAAGAGGAGGAAGCAGAGGGAGGAGGAGGGGGAAGGAAGGAGGAGAGGGAGGGGTGGGGGGGGAGGAAGGAAGAGGAGAGCGAGCAAGCAGACGATGACAGAGGGGCCGGGGCCCGGTAGCGGCAGGCAGAAGAGGAGAGAAAAGAGGGAGGGAGGGAGGGAGGGAAGACCTCTGTCGATGCGGACAGCTCCTGGGAGGCTGCGCCTGGGAGGTCTTCTCAAGGACGACCACGGGACTGCAGGCGGTGGAACCAAACTCGGAGCAGATCCACTGGCCCAGGCATGAGCCGGATCGCGCCGGGATTCGGGAAGAACTCGGAAGGGGGAATATTCGGGAGCGGGGCCAAGAGGGGGGTGTCCAAGAGGGGGGGGGGTGCAAATCTTGACCAGCGGCATGTGCGCGGCCCAACGGGGGGGCCAGGGACGTAATGAAATCAGAAGGAACGCCATGAAATCAGGGGAAATATCATGGCCCCCACTATGATATCCACACACCCCTAGTCATCACCCCCCTTCTTTTCCGCCCCCGAATTATGCTGGATCCCGCAGGTTGTCGACCACAGAGATAGATACACTGGCGCCGATGCGGACTGCAACCTCCCGAGGGTGTTCCTTCGTTTCGGCCCCAGCGGGAGCTGCTCTCGGGCGCCAGATCGCCACCAAGCACCAGTCCGGGACGGGACTCGAAGCTGCCCCCAGGGCTCAGTCGGGCCTGTCCCCATACAGGGCTGAGTTCGGACGAAGAGATAAAGAGAGCCAAACAGTACCTCAAAATACCCCAAACATGGTGTTCACAACTCGTGCCCAGACTGTTTTTCGACGATTCTTCGAGTAGGGGGGCAGGCCCGACTTAGCCCCAGGGAGGTGGTCGGGGGCCCTGGGGCCGCGGACGGAGGAAAAGAGAAGAGGCCCCGGCAGAGGTCACGGAGAGCGGCACGGACACGCACGTCGGCCAGCCTTGGCTCTTCGATGTACACCCTGCGAAATGCTTTAGAAATCATGGGTTAAGAAATTCACAGTCTCAGAACTTGAATAAAAACCCATCATTTCTATTCAAATCTTAAGATTTACATTGAAACGTTAAGAATAGTCGAGACTCTGGCCGAAAACTTAGGTTTTCTTAAGCATCGCCTAAGGTGTACCATCCGTTTGCTGCAGGCTGCACGGTGCGCGCCGTGCAGGGTGCCGCCTGCGTGGGCGCCACGCGCGCGGCGCAGGCTGCGCACCCGGCGAAGCGCGCGAGAAGCTCCATGCGTGCAGGCGGTGCGACACGAGCTCGAGGCAGCCACCCGGCGCAGGCTGCGCCCATATAAGGCGCCCACGACGGGGCACCGCCCGGATTCCGGGGCGAACCCTCGGCAAACCCACCCGGCGCCAGGGGCGCCGCGCCAACGAGGCGGCCACGCTTGGGCACCAACTGGGCGCAGCGTGCAACCTCGGCACACCCGCCCAGCACGAGGGGCGCTCCCGAGGCGGCCCCAGCCGAGCGCCCACCGTGGGCACCGCGCGGAAGCCCGGCAGACCCGCCCAGAGCAGGGTGCGCAAAGGAACGAAAAGGGGCCCAGGGACGCACAAATAAATAGACACACATAGCAGGATTCCCCATTTGTTCTTCCATATTTTCTGGGTTTTCGTCTTCCCCCCACTTCCCATTACCTAACAGCGAAGACTGATAGGTTTCTAATGGGGTCAAAAGAGCATCTGATGACTCCCCAGGGGGGTCTGGGCGGGAGCCGGACAGGCGAGGGCCGGGCTCGTTTTAAGCAAACAGTCACACACTTCGTGCTCTTCGACCTCCCAGAACTCCATTCCCGGGCCACATTTTGAATGCCCGGAGCCAACTGTAGGCCACTTCGTGCTCTTCGACTTCCCAGAACTCCATTCCCGGGCCACATTTTGGATGCCCGGAGCCAACTGTAGGCCACTTCGTGCTCTTCGACTTCCCAGAACTCCATTCCCGGGCCACATGTTGGATGCCCGGAGCCAACTGTAGGCCACTTCGTGGTCTTCGAGTTCCCAGAACTCCATTCCCGGGCCACATTTTGGATGCCCGGAGCCAACTGTGGGCCACTTCGTGGTCTTCGAGTTCCCAGAACTCTATTCCCGGGCCACATTTTGAATGCTGAGGCAGGCTGATGATGAGGCTGAGGCAGGCTGAGGCTGAGGCAGGCTGAGGCTGAGGCCGAGGCTGAAGGCAGATTGAGGCTGAGGCTGAAGCAGGCTGAGGCTGAGGCAGAGGCAGGCTGAGGCTGAGGCTGAGGCAGGCTGATGCTGAGGCAGGCTGAGGCTGACGCTGAGGCTGATGCAGGCTGAGGCTGAGGCAGGCTGAGGCTGAGGCCGAGGCTGAAGGCAGACTGAGGCTGAGGCTGAAGCAGGCTGAGGCTGAGGCTGAGGCAGGCTGAGGCTGAGGCTGAGGCAGGCTGATGCTGAGGCAGGCTGAGGCTGAGGCTGAGGCTGATGCAGGCTGAGGCTGAGGCAGGCTGAGGCTGAGGCCGAGGCTGAAGGCAGACTGAGGCTGAGGCTGAAGCAGGCTGAGGCTGAGGCTGAGGCAGGCTGAGGCTGAGGCTGAGGCAGGCTGATGCTGAGGCAGGCTGAGGCTGAGGCTGAGGCTGATGCAGGCTGAGGCTGAGGCAGGCTGAGGCTGAGGCCGAGGCTGAAGGCAGACTGAGGCTGAGGCTGAAGCAGGCTGAGGCTGAGGCTGAGGCAGGCTGAGGCTAGGCGGCTGAAGCAGGCTGAGGCTGAGGCTGAGGCTGATGCAGGCTGAGGCTGAGGCAGGCTGAGGCTGAGGGCGAGGCTGAAGGCAGACTGAGGCTGAGGCTGAAGCAGGCTGAGGCTGAGGCTGAGGCAGGCTGAGGCTGAGGCTGAGGCAGGCTGATGCTGAGGCAGGCTGAGGCTGAGGCTGAGGATGATGCAGGCTGAGGCTGAGGCAGCCTGAGGCTGACACCGAGGCTGAAGGCAGACTGAGGCTGAGGCTGAAGCAGGCTGAGGCTGAGGCTGAGGCAGGCTGAGGCTGAGGCTGAGGCAGGCTGATGCTGATGCAGGCTGAGGCTGAGGCTGAGGCTGAGGCTGAGGCTGATGCAGGCTGAGGCTGAGGCAGGCTGAGGCTGAGGCCGAGGCTGAAGGCGACTGAGGCTGAGGCTGAAGCAGGCTGAGGCTGAGGCTGAGGCAGGCTGAGGCTGAGGCTGAGGCAGGCTGATGCTGAGGCAGGCTGAGGCTGAGGCTGAGGCTGATGCAGGCTGAGGCTGAGGCAGGCTGAGGCTGAGGCCGAGGCTGAAGGCAGACTGAGGCTGAGGCTGAAGCAGGCCGAGGCTGAGGCTGAGGCAGGCTGAGGCTGAGGCTGAGGCAGGCTGATGCTGAGGCAGGCTGAGGCTGAGGCTGAGGCTGATGCAGGCTGCGGCTGAGGCAGGCTGAGGCTGAGGCCGAGGCTGAAGGCAGATTGATGCTGAGGCTGAAGGCTGAGGCTGAGGCTGAGGCTGAGGCTGAGGCTGAGGCTGAGGCTGAGGAGGCAGGCTGAGGCTGAGGCTGAGGCAGGCTGAGGCTGAGGCTGTGACTGCGACTGCCGTTGCCACTGCGACTGTCATCGCGAATGCGACTACGACTGCGAGAGCAGCAGAATTTTACAACTGGATTATCATATGAATCTTAAGGGGAATGCTTCCATATATGCTCCTACACATCGCTGTTAGGTTGCGTTGCCGGGATAATATTTTCCCATATTCTCCTTGGAGTCGACGATGCATTGTGTCTGTGTGTTTCTTTCCCTCCTGGGAGAAGCGCCCTCGACTGGGCACCAACTGGGCACCAACTGGAAACCTCAGCAGACCCACCGCGAGCGCAAGGAGGCGCCCCGGAGGCGCCCACGACTGGGCGCCGGGCGGAGCCTCGGCAGGCCTGTCCAATTCCCGCGTGCCAGCCGCGCAGTGCAAGGGCCCGCACAAGTGCAAAGGCGCTGTGCGGGGGGGAACTCTCGGAGGTCCGCGCAGATCGGCGCTGGACCCGCCTGCCCCCCTGGTGCTGGGCCGGCGCTGGGCCCCGGCGGCGCCCCTGCGCCCCGCGCACCAGGGCGGCAGCGCCGATATCCGGGAGGCCCGCGCGGAGCTCCGAGAGCGCAGGCTTGCGCAGCCTCTCCCTCTGCGGTCCTCGGAGGCCTCCGCGCAGCTCCCTGCGCTGGTGGAGCTCGTGCACCCCTCGGCGGCCCCAGCCGCCTCCGCCTCCTCTTCCTCCTCCTCCTCTCGCGCCGCCTGGGTATGTCGGCGCGCCTTTTGTTCTGAACGCGCCAGAGTGGACGAGGCCAGCACCGCGGCAGCCCCACTGCAAATCCACGGCAACCTCGCGACAAGCTCCGCGTTCGAGGCGGAATTTGCACCGGTGGTCGAAACGCCCCCCCCAAGACGCAGGGCCGCGCGTCGGAACAAACGGCGCGGCGACAGATGTGCGCGGGCATGGATTCTCGACGCCCGCGCTGGCCGCCGAGGCAGAGGTGGGGCCCCCGAGAATCTGGGGCCCCTGCGGGGACCCAACTCTGGCCGATGTCGCCGCGCTCCCCCGAAACGCCGCGGCACTCCACGTCGGCCGAAGGCTCGGCCAGCGCCCCCAGTCATGCATCCATGCCCACGGCTTCTGCAAGCCCCGCCTCGGGCCCCCCTGGGGAGCGGCGGCCGTGGACGCCTGCCCGCCCGCAGGGGGCGGGAGGGCACTCGTGCCCGCCACCGCTTTGGGGGGGGGAGGATTATTCGGGGGGGGGACCCCAGGGTTCCGGAGGAAGAGGGGGGGGATTTTTCCAGAGTAAAGCGGCGGTGGATCACGCTCTCGCGCAGATTCGGACCCCCGGGGGCCAAAACGTGTCCACGTCCACGGGCGCTCGTGCCCGACCCCAAAGCGGTGTCAGCGGATGCGCGCACCCTTGCGGCGGGCAGCGGCCTGCGGCGCGCCCGCCGGCGCGGTGCCGCCGCTCAGCGCGGGCCACGCGCCCAGGCCCAGCGAGGCCGCCCTGACGCCTGCCGCCGCGCGAGCGGCGGCCGACGCGCCGCCCGCGGGCGCACCGGCCGCGGGCGCTGCGGCCGCGGGCGCGCCAGCGGCGGCCTGCGGCACGCCCGTGGGCGCGACGCCGCCGGTGCCCGGCGCCTCCGCGGGCGCGGCGGCGGCGGCCCGGCGGCGCTGCTTCAGCAGCGACGCCCCGCTGGAGCCGCGGCTGCCGAGCACCGAGGCCTCGAAGGCGGCCGGCGAGGCGGCCGTCGGGCGCCTCATCGCGCGGCGCTCATCGGCGGGCGGCCCCCGGGGAAGGCGCGGCGGCTGCGGGGCGGCATGGGGTCGCCTGGGCAACGAGGCTGTTCGGTGTAGCGAGCACGAGGGTGGGCCAGGGAGCAGGGGGGGCGGGTCAAGATCGCTCCGCAGCCGGCACGGGAGGGCATCGGGCTGGCTCGCGCTGGTCATCTAAGGCTGCCTCGTACCGCTGGACCCCCCGGCAGCGCCTCCAGCGTCGCTCCCGGCGCGCTCCGCGCGCCAGGACGGAGGGTTCAGCGTCTATCCAAGAAATCTGCGCGGACCTCTGCAAGTTTACGGTCGGGAGCTTTTGCTTAGCGTGTCGCGGCGGCGGCACTAGCGACACGCTATGCCCTGCGAGCGGATAGCGTGTCGCTCCGCTTCGCGGGGCGGGAGGCTGGGAACAGCTCGGGACGTTGACGCCTGGGGACCGCGACGAGGACAGCGTGACGTGCCGAAGCGCGATGGGCCAGAACCGGCGGCGCGACACGTTAAGCCAAAGTTCCTGACCGTGCTGTTGAGTTCCCCACGTGCTTAGTGGGGTTATTGTTTTTTTTCCCACCCGCGTCGCACCCGCGTTCACACACACCCGCCTCCCCTCCCCACCCTCCTCCCTCCTCACCCACGCACAATACACGCACGACGCGTACATGAGACACGCGTCTACATACAGCCACACGCATGCACACACTCGCACACGCACACACACACACACACCCACACACACACACACTAACAACGCCAGTGCACGCATGGCGTGTTCACTGCATCACACACCCACGACGTATGCGCCACATCTGGGCACCAACATGAGACACACGTCCGGATACATCCGCACACGCATCATACACATGACACATACTGGGCACCCACATGAAACACACGTCCAGATACAGCCGCACAGATATCATACACATACACATGACACGCCATACACAAAACATACGTGTAGGATTCGCAGTGCATGGCAGAGATGGCACTTTCTCGACACCAAAGGGGGTGCGCAGAGGGTGGTCCCTCAGCGCGGCCGCTATCCGTGACACGCCCGCAAAGCGTGGCAGGAGTGTCAGTTCCTCGACACCACAAGGGGATGCGCAGAAGGTGGCCCCTCAGCGCGGCCGCTATCCCTGGCACGCTCGCAGGGCGTGGCCGCAGTGGCACTGGGGCGCGCGGAGGGTGGCCCCTCAGCGCGGCCTCTATCCCTGGCACGCTCGCAGGGCGTGGCAGGAGTGGCTCTTTCTCGACACCACAAAGGGTGCGCAAAGGGTGGTGGTCCCTCAGCGCGGCCTCTATCCGTGACGCGCTCGCAGGGCATGGCAGGAGTGGCGCTTCCTCGACACCACAGGGGGTGGCACGGAGACACGGGAGACCGAGGCTCTCGCTCGGGAGCGCCAATGGATCTTGCCGGCGGCGTGAGGTCGTGGGAGCGCCGCCGGCCGGAGATCTTCTATCGAAGAGTACTCCCGGAGACTCTCCGTCTTATAGGGAGTTTGTGACGTTTGCGAGGTGCGCGCTGTCGGAGGCTTTTCTCGCCGAAGATCGCGTTCCGTGTCCTGCGTGACCGCTGCGCCCGTTGCCGCCCTGGAAGAAGGGCCCTCGGTGACTTCCTCCCCTCTTGACCAGCGTCGCGAACGGGATCGGCGAAGCAACGGCCACCTGTGCGAGGCGGGGATTTATCCATATCCACCGCCTGGGAACCGACGTCCTGGTGCCCCAGCGGGCGGTGGATATGGATCTATTTAGGCCCCCGGGGGCCCGAATACTTCCACATCCACCGCCTGCCGAGGCTCCGAAAACTGGCCCTCCAGGCGGTGGATATGGAAAAATCCCCACCTCGGAACCTGCGTCAATTTCGCATTGCTCACTTCAGCTTTGATCACTCCAGACATACTATAAGTATGTGGGGTTTCTCGGTAGCGTGGTTTTGAGTTGCCGCAGACTGAGATTTGGCAAAGGCGCCGGGCCGAAATGGAAGCGAAAATGATTTTTTGACGGTACTTTGTATGGCGGAGGCGCTGCGAGTTTTGCACCCGAGAGCGGAAACAAACCATTGTCATTGCCTATGTTTGCGGAGGATTGGCCGAACACTGGCCCGCAAACGAACTATTGAACGCCACACTGCTTTGTTTCGGCAGAAGCGTCGGTCAAACGTGTCCCGCGAACAACAAAATCAGGCTGGAGAAAAGAAAGTGGGTGTATGCTTATGCCTCGAGCCGCATCGTTTTTCTGCCTCGAGCCGCACTGCTTCTGCCGTGAGGAAAGGGGGAGGAGGAGGAGGAGGAGGAGGAGGAGGAGGAGGAGAAGGTGGAGGGGGAGGGGGGGAGGAGGGGGGGCGGCAGGAGCAGGAAGAGGAGGGGGAGGCGGCGGAGAAGGAGAAGGAGAATGCGAAGAAGAAGGAGAAGGAAGGACGGATGGTGAGGAGGAGGAGGAGGAGAAGGGCGGAGGAGGAGGAGGAGGAGGAGGAGGGAGGAGGAGGAAGAGAGAGAAGAGGAGGGAGGGAGGAGGAGTAGGATGAGGAGGAAGAGGAGGGAGGAGGAGGAGGAGGAGGGAGGAGGAGGAGGAGGAGGAGGAGGAGGAGAGGAGGAGGAGGAGGAGGAGGAGGAGGAGCCTGCAGGCGAGCACTCGCTACGGCAGAAATGAAGGCAAGAGTGCCCATTATTCCACCGCTTCTCCGAGCTCCTATTGGGCCAGGCCGGCCAGGCCCGCGCGCGCGCGGGCGCGACTGGCGCCACAAGCGCCTCGCCCGCTCAGCGGCCTGCCTAAGAGGGAGGAGGAGGAGGAGGAGGAGGAGGAGGAGGAGGAGGAGGAGGAGGAGGAGGAGGACTTTGCTGCCTCGAGCCGCATCGTGCGGCGCTCGTGGGCGGGGCCGTCGGGGGAGGCGGCGCGGCTGCAAGGCAGGGCCCACGTGGTCGCCCAGGCGGGCGTGTCCGCCGCAGGTTCGGGCATGGGTCTCTGACGCCACGTGGATTGTTTGAGATATCGTTTCTCACTTTCTGGCGAAAGCCTCATCTTACATTAGATGATGTATGATATATGGTACTGTGTCCTAGTGTATGATCTGTTCTGGCATTCTACGAACATTGATTGTAGGACTTTGTTTTTTACCTGATCTTACCTTACAGCCTGGAATGCGACTAAGAACGCTGTCGTTGAAGAAATCTGGGTCAGCTTCCCGGAGGCTTCATGAACCAAACCTTGGGCAATGTCTGTTGCCAAGGCTGGAGGGGGCGAACGTGCTCAAGAAACTGGGCCAGCTTCCTGGCAAGTCGGTCGACTGCACTTTATCCTACATTCTCCTAGTATTGTAGTCGTCATCGTAGTGTCAACGCGCTTTTCGGACTGATTCGCGGACGCGTTTGGCACACGTGTGCCGGATCTCCTGGCGCGCATGTGGTGTGTGTGTGTTGCCTCTTCTGGCACGCTGCGCACGCGTTTGGCGACTCTTCCCACACCACCACAAAGCAGAACATCGATATCCTGGGTTATTCGGTGGGGGTGGGAGGGAGATGCGAGCCGATGACCTGACTAACCTTTCTTCGCTCTGGGCAGCCCCACGTATGCTCGCGCGCACAAGAACTGCGTCCCCCGTTCGGACCTGCGTGATCAACAAGGTCAGGTTGTCGGGGGGGGCGTGCGGGACGACCCCACCGCAGTGCAGATCAGTCGACATATGCCGACTTGAGGCCACCCCGCGCCAACGTCGCCTGGACGCAATTCAAGATTAGCAGTCGGGATGGCGTCCGCGAGGGGTCCTTGAGCTGATGTGCCGTGAAAGCAAAGAGACCAGCCATTCCGATGACACGTGTGTGTTTCCATGTGTGGACCCGTAGATGTCTCGACCCTGGAAACCAGTTTTTCGTCCTGCATCGTTTGTTCGACGGTCCTGGGGCCCAGCCCCCTGGAAGCTAAGAGCGGCAAAAACGTCCGTCTTGTTTCTTTTTCCTCCACGACGCGAGCATGTTTAGGAAGTCAGTCCAAA